GAATAAAGAAAACTGAGAACTACATCTGCTTCTCATGTCATGCTTTCCACGAGGGACTCAACACCTATAATGCGGATTATATTTTTATGATAACATTTATTCCCTTTTGTTCCTTCAAAGGCCTCTACAACCAATCAGAAAATCTTTGTTTTTTAAAATGGATCAAGAATGACTGAAAAGTAAGCAGTTTAAGACATCAGCAATTCAGTAGACTATAGTCTGTTTTTTCAAACTGTATTCCACTGAACCCTAGGATTCTGTAAGAACTTGATTGAGTTCAGTGGAAGATTAAGGGCAAAACCTCCCAAAACAACAGTTGGAATTCAGCCAATATTCTGTCAGTAGAGTTCTTGATTAAGAATTCCTGGACTATTTCCGTGACCTGCAAAGTTTAAAAACCTCTGGTCAATAGGATAAAGAACTCTGGGCATTAGTCCCACAGATAGAAGTCATCATGTTGAGTTCAATGCTGTTTCAGCCTTCTTATAGAACCTGCTAATCAATGCGGGTACGTAGAAAGCAGAAGGTTAATGTAGATCCTTGTAGGCCTCTACTGATGTGTTGGCTAGATTCCTGAAATAGAAAGACATGGAAGATTGAGGCAGGAGGGGAAGAAAGTCTTTATGTGTAGTTCAGTTTTTTGGATCCAGTTCAGTCCTCATGCTTCCTGCTCAAATGTATGGAGGGGATTTCCATCAATAATCCTTGTTTCAAGAATTCTTACCTCTTGACCATAGGACAAATGTCTTGATAACATGACATTTTCAAATTTAATAGAAAGGAGAAATATTTCGTATTTTAAAATATCATCGCTTACTCTTTTCTGTACTTGGATAGTGCTCATAGATCAGAGTGAACATTCTCTTTAGAAAGAATATAGCAGAAGGCAAAAATTATTTTTCCTGCAGCACTCTAGGTCAGCAGGGTTTCTTGTGGCAACTAATGGATCCATGCTCAGAGCAACCAGGGTCACTTGGCTAATTAGTTCCTAAAATATTGTTTGTTGAAAAAAAAAAAGAAGCCCTTAGCACTCTCTCTGCATTATTGTGAAACTCATGAACAGTGGAAGGCAGATTAATCATTACATTTTGAGGTTATGTGATGAAAGTTCTCGGATGCTATGGTGCTCAGTGTGACATGAAAATAAGCAGAAGTATTTGTGGTTTGTTTGCAATATCAGCAGAAGTATTAAGAAAATTGTAAGCCTTGGAGCACCAATTCTGTTTCAGATAAGAAAAGACAAATATAAGAGAGTAAGAATAACCTGCTGGATCAGACCAATACCCACCTTCATCCAGCATTAATAAAAATGATGCTAGCAGTAAGATTACAAAACCAAGGAGGTGGTACATCTACATAAAGTAATTTTGTTTCTGCAACAGCCCAGAATTTCAGATACCTCCGTAGTGCTCATAAGTAGATGATAGAAACATTCTCCTGTTCAATTGTTCTCCTGAAACTGAATTTGGGAGGTCCATTGCTCATAACCCTAAAATAATATTGAATGTCCAAGATTAGTAGTCCTGTACAGAATTGTCCATAAATCTATCCAACACCCCCTTCTAAAATAATCCAAATCAGCAGCCAGCACTACCTTTGTTGATAATGTATCACAGAAGTTGCTACTGCATTTTCTTATTTGTGCTCTAGAACTCTTTCTAATCAATTTTATTGGATGACTGCTGATCCTTGCATTTTGAGGACAGAGAAGTTCACTTTGTCCCTGTCACATATACTGTAAGTGGCTCTACCACCATTTTCCCCACCTAAGAGACCCAGACATTCTAGCATTTTCTCATAGTTTGAACTTCCTGCAAACTTTGGTTGCCCTCCTGTGTAATTTTTCCAGTTGCTTTATATCCTTCTTCCAATAATAATGACATGCAGTTGCTCAATAGATTTACACAAGGACATTACAGATGCAGATACACAATAGAGATGATTAAATTCATTACAATGTTGGCAGCTTTATTTCCATTTCCCTTCCTCGTGATTCCTAGGATGGAACTGGCTGCACCCTGAATTGTCACTGAAATCTCCTTTATGATTCCCCAAATCTTTAAGATATTAGTTATAAACAATATATAAACCATCAGAGCTTGGGAAGGTGGGGGGTCAACAGCTTTACATTCACTTCTATTAAATTTCATTTGCAATTTGGTTGGCCAATCATCCAGTTACAATAGATTCTTCTGGAGCGCTTCTAGCCACATTTGGTTTTTATTGCATCAGCAGTGTGCTATCCTCCACAAATTTGGCTGGCTCATTGCTTATGACTAAGTCAAAAATATGTACAAGCAACTTTAAGCATGATCCCAAGATAAATCCCTGAAGCACATCATTTCTTACTTCTCTCTTTTGAGAAAAGAATATTCTTAATCTTTGCTTTCTTATTTTCCAGCCAGATCTGTTTCTCTAGAATGCCACTGTGTGTTCATATCTACAGCATTTTGCATTTTTACACACACACAGAGACTCCCTTCACCCTCTCCTCACTATATCTCATAGGTGAAGTGCAAAAATCTAGAGGACCAGATGACAGCAAAGAGATACAGAACACTTCGTCTCCTGTCACCTGGTGTTCTTCTAGATTTATGCAGCCTGAGAAGCGTCATGTGAGAGAGACTTGGGATGCTGTGTGGGGGTGGGGGTGGGGGTGGGAGGCCGCTTTCTAGACATAAAATCCTGGGGCTGTACCTGGTATTCCTTCTCCTGTAGCATTGCTATGTATTTTCAAGTATAGCCTTGGTATTAGCAACTGAGGTTTTAAATTGGAGAGATTTTGGCATAACTGAGGATTACTATGCTTCAGGAAAATGAAGGGCTCCTCTCTTTTGAGATTTGATTCATATACTACTTGAGGCAGCAGAACACAGCTTAAATTACATTTTGGCAGGGTGGAAATGTCTACTGGGAATATGTGTTATAAAATGCAAACCAGTTTGCAACATGGCTTTATTAGAATGATACTAGGTGATTAATCCTACTGCCATGACATTCTTTAGTCTGTCTAAAGACGAGCCTTATTAAAGTCTTTTGCAATGGCCAATGGCATAAAGAGCGGTATATTTTCTTAGAGTAACCACAGGACTCTGCTTCGACATTACAATAAGGGTGCTCAGCTGTTGAATTAAAATTTAATTTGGAAATGGTGGGATTGCCTCCAGGCTGCATTATCTGTCTTCAAAGGGTCTGCATCATTGATGAGGCTTCTTTAAGGTCAAAAGTGGGGTGTTCTGTAGTTGGGAATAGGAAAGGCTGAGAAGAGCTCCTAATAAGGACTGCAACAGTATAATTGCTGCATGTGCTTTAAATGTACAGCAGCTCCTATAGTTTTTAAGAACCCTCGCTCCCTTCCCCAGTCCTGGATGTATTTTGTTTGTGCTTGTTGCTTTGGAAAACAGGCCTGGCAAAATTTGTGTCCAATAGAAGAGAATATATGTAGCTCAGGGTTGAACTGTGGAGTCCTTGGTGCTCTCGGAGCTTGGTTGTTGACTTGCAGACATTTCATTACTTGACTAGATAACATTATGTTAACATAAGAGCACCAAGGACTTCATAAAAACGTGTGTGTACAATTTCACATGTATTCGCTGGCCAAAGTTGCAGAAATTGGTTGCATAGTTTTGCTCAGTCCCACCCTGTGTCATGAGATTTAGAAATTTGCTACATCAATCATTCTTCAAAATAAAACTTCAGGTCTCATGATTTCTTCCAAAATCACAGGGCAGTCACTGAGAAGAATATTTGTCAACTGTGTGTCTAAATAAAAAGCCTATGAAACTGAGAGGTTTTTGTTTAAAACAGAATTTTGGACGCTTGCTAACATTAACTTAAAAGCCTGATACGAACATTCATTAAACCAGAAAACATTTTGAAGAATGTGGGGTCTAGAGCCATGTTAATAAATAAAATATCCATTTCAAGCCAGGTTCATATTTTCAGCCAAATAAAAATGAATATCCCAATAGAGGTTAATGTATATCATGTGTGAATGCTGGAAGTTTCTTAAAAGGATACCAAGAAGAAAAGTAATGTTCACTCTTCCAAGTCACAGGGCCTGACACAACATCCAAACAACTTAAACAGTCATAATAAATATGATTATTGAATGATGTTTTTAAATATTAAATACAGTGGAAAAGTAACCTCTTTTTCAAATACGTAGAAACATATATTATAGATTGTAAGAAACTGAGCACTGCTGGAATTCTTAATTTATACTGGTATTTCAATCAAATATATTAACTGAGATGCTTACTTTGCCCTGTAGTAAACGGGAGTGAATACATAGTGCATTGCTAAGCTCAGCTCAATTTAGTTTTGATTGTTTATGACATAGATCTTCACAATGTAGCAAGCATAATATATTAGTTGAATATGAAAAATAAATAAGTTAAAATAAAAGTAGCAAGTCCAAAATTGACAAATTCAGAGCTAAATATAATACCCCATAACACTGATTTCCTGACATTTAATTTGATTACTTCAATCAATGATAGAGAAAAAAAATATAATCATAACACTTAACTGTTAGAGGTTTTTAATGAAATTTTAACATCAGCTTTATAAAATCTGGTATGTCCCTTGGCTCCGACTTTTTAAAATGTAGGAAGTTATCACAAAATTGGGAGCTAAATTGGCTTGTTTATTCTTTAACAGGTCAGCCAGATGTGAGAGTGGGATTTTTTTGTGACTGAAAACGAAGGGTAGTTTAGGAAATAAGAGCGAAGATCCTGTTTGTCTTATCTAAAATGATAAAAGCATAGATTTTAAAGTATGTCAACCTTTCCTCACAAGGTAGTTACTCTTAGTTTCCCTCAGATATTTGAGAAAAAGTCTTTACCTCATAATCCAATGTTCTGTTCAAATGCAGAGAAATTGCTGACTGACATAAGAATGAATTTTCTGTGAAATACATTTAAGCAAATGGAATTAAATGTGGGGAAATGGCTGTCTAGCTTTAAAAAGTGATATTTTCTATCTCTGTTTACTTGAAGATATTCTGGAAGTCCAAGCAGTCCATGTATTCAGCCGTGAATATGAAATTAATAAGAAGGAGCATCACACAGACAAATATTACAACTTAAAACTGATTGTGCGCAGAGGACAGTCTTACCATATACAGATTACATTCAATCGTGCATACAATCCAGAGAAGGACCAATTCTGGATTGAATATCTTATAGGTAAGTGCCAACTAATGCCTGTTCTTGCATTTCTCACTCTTTTTATCTTGGAAAAGCATCATAGGTAATAGTGGAAAAGCCAATAGAGTAAAAGGGAGTAGCACAGCTAAGGAAAAGAGGGAAAAAAATGGCAGACTGCATTGTTTGGTGACCCCAGTGAAATGGTCGTTCGACCCCAAATGGGGTCCCGACCCACAGGTTGAGAACCACTGGTCTATAGCTATACATATTTACTACACAATTTGTGTCTTTTTATTTCTGCAATGGTTGCATCATAGCAGAAGAATCACATTTTGTAAATTATGGAGTTTTGATAAATTTTGGTAATGCAGTTTTGGGGAAGGCACCTCTAAGAGTAATAAACAAAAAACAAAACAAAACGGTGGTACATGCAGTTTACAGGCTGCAAGCTGAAAAACTTGATTTGGGGTATCTCTTAAATCAGTGCCTTTTAAAGGGCTCCCCAAGACCCTCCCAGGGATTCATGAAATCAAAATTATTTGCCAGAGATTGAACATGCATGCAAACATTCTCATTATAATTTATTTGTTAAAATATAATCTTTTTTAATTAAAAATATTTATGTTAATATGTAATATTAATTGGGAAATCCAGAATGGGATGGAGCCCATTAAATGGCTGATATGAGTGTGTGTTGCTGCCTGGATGGGGTGTGTGTTATTATTTTATTATTATTTTACTATTTTTATTTTTTATTATTTTTCTTTTATATTGCGTTTTTATTTCCTGTAAGCCACCTTGAGTTGCTGTGAGCAATATACATTTTCCAAATGAAATAAATAAATATGTTTCATATTGTTATTTTCACATTATTTAATAAATAGATATCCTATGCGTACATCGATTTTAATTTTTAATATGGTGAATATTGATAACATATAAGCTATAACAAATGAAAACTCTAATTTTTAAAAGTGGGTAATAGAAAAGCAAAATCTTAATAAATTTTAAGAAATACTGTCTCAGATGTTCAATGTATGAGCTTGTTACAAAGTAAAGCAAAGCAAAGCAAAAAGCACACCCTCCCTCATACATTTTTTCCAAGCTTACAGAGTGGGGGGGGAGAGAAACGGACCTCAGGTTGTGGATGTGTGCTTGTAATGAATACCTGCAGGAGGGCAAAGTATGGTGCCAAAATGGATCAGAAAGCTTTAAGTAAAGTCAGAGATGGCAACCTTTCCAGGCGTTGCAGACTATTATTTCATTGGCACTGGGTGCTCCCCCTTCCCCCATTTATTTATGTATAAGGTATGTGTAAGGTTGAAGATCTTTTGAAATTTTCAGTATGCAGTCACTGATTTAGTGATGATGTGAGTCTCCTGGACACTATTATTGGAATCTTACAGTGCTATGGAGCTCAGAAATAAAGAACAGGCCAAAGGGCAAATAAGATCTAAAACAAACAAAAGTGTGTCTTTAAAAATCAAAATGTGAACATCTGTAGTATCAGAATATTTCTAATATTCAACTGAAGTCTGCCTTCCTATAATTTAAATTAATTCTTTTTTCCCCTGCCCTGTAGAATTATGCTTTGCCTATCTTTTGAGGATGATACTATCTGAAGTATCTTTCAAGTATCACAGCGGTGTTATCAAACCCCGTAAATAAAATAGTCTAAGACAAGCCTTCAACTGGGCTGCAGAATTCCTGATGACCGCCAGATGGAAGCAAAGAAATAGAATTTTCTTCACACAGCAATACTTCAAAGATATTGCGGGTTGGTTTGAGATCCCCACAACAAAGCAAATGTTGCAATAGAGCAAGTCACACCAAATTTTTTGGGGGCTTCCCAGTGCACATAAAAGTTATATTTACGCATGGACTATTAAATGAGCAATAGCACTATGCTTAAAAAATACCAATGTACATGCCTTAATTAAAAAACACTTTATTGCTAAAAATGCTAATCATCCTCTGAGCCTCACCAAAGTATAATCTTTTTATTGGTAGAGGGTCTTGTAAAAAACCCATGGTATCTGTAAAGCACAATAAAATTCCTTTGCTACCATCTGGTGATTGTAAAATATCTGGGGGCCTAGCTATGACACACCTAATCTCTCTCCTTTCTGCTTCATGTTCAGAAAAGAGGAGGAAAGAACAGCCACCAGCAATTGCTGGGTAAGCTGTTCTCTTCTTCAAAGTCACACAGTACATGCTAAGAGAACTTGGTTGTCACAGAAACAGTAAATGCTGATTCACTGCATTGTTCTCGAGATGTTTTGAGAACAAACTCTCCATTGATCTACTCTACAGATCAATGAAAGACTGCAACTATCTAAAGCAGCCATTGTCAACCTTTTTGCCCGGGAGGAACCCCACCATAAAGATAGCAAAGATACAGAAAATTCACAAATACAGTTCACTTCTAACGGACACAATTCATGTTTTACAAAGTGGCATGCTGGCAACTGAATCCTGGCACGTAAAAATTCTCCAAAGTTTGAATGGTAGCATTGTGTGGCATGGGAATTTTTTTAAAAAAATGATTTTTGTTTCCAATCACAATCTCTTGGAAGCCCAGTTGAGCAAGGCTGCTCTAGAGATTCCTTTTCCCTTTTTTGAAGATATGGGAGGCAATGTTTGCATCCTGTCATCTGGCCCATCACCTGTTTTCTAGACCTTCTCAAAGACAACAAAGAAAAGTTTGATCAAATGAATAGCACAGTCCTTCATTATCCTAGGACTCAATTAATCTGACCCTGGAGATTTAAACATGCTCTCCAACCACCTTTTTTTTTTTTTTTGTCAGTCTCAGGCTTCAGTCCCTCCCTTTTAATCTGCTCTTCACAATTGCTTGTTGGAATCCATATCTCTCAGAAAGGATTGTGAGTTGTTCCTCACTGTCTCCTACTTGCAGCACAAAAGTGCCTCAATAAAATGCTTTTCTTCAGCCCTGTTCCTTTGGTCTCATCCCCAGCCAATTTAAAACCATCCTTTTCAGTTTTAGTTTTAAAGTAGTATTTGCTTTCTTTCCGACACAAGTTTTGTCATGGCTGTGACACTGTCCACCAACAAAGTGGTTAGGATTTGCTCTTCTCTTAATTGACTGAAATCTCTTTTCCCTGGTCATCATGAACTGCTCTGCCATTTAGTTTCAGGGTGAAGGAGAAATTGGACCCTAGGCTTTCACAAAGGTATCTGCCCCTGTAATGCTTGACTACCACAAGTGCCTGTTGGTGTTGTACAACCTCCTTATGTGTACAATTGTGTCTGTATTTGAAGAGAGTGCTAGTCCTGTGCTGCACAGATATTTGATTTAAACTGGGAAAGAGAACATGGTCAGTCAGAAGCTTGTAGCTAGTTCTATCACCACTAGATATATTACATGTTTCTGCTGCTTGTGATGAAAAGAAGTTCCACATGGGTGCAGTTTCCCCATGTCTTAGTTCAGGGGTCTCCAAACCTGACAACTTTAAGACTTGTGCACTTCAACTCTCAGAATTCCTCAGCCAGCCATGCTGGCTAGGGAATTCTAGGATTTGAAGTCCACAAGTCTTAAAGCTGCCGAATTTGGAGACCCTTGTCTAAGTTAATTATCGTCAAAATAAATCACCCTTTCTGAGTTTGAATAACGGAGGCTGAAACGTGCTTAATTCCGTGTGCCTACTTCTTCTCATCTCCTCTGCATTTGCAGAAAGGAGAAACGGTAGCAGGAATTATACAACTTAGAGTCATAGGTAAACCTGTTTCTGCTAATATAATACAGCTGCCTAACATGCAGACAGCCCAGGTTCGAATCTCAGAAGGGTATGTCTGGTTGAAAAGAGCTAAAAAGTTCGAAATAGCTATTTCAGTTCTCCCTTAATTCTTTGCTAGCAATCCAAATTTTAGAAATATATATATATATATATATATATATATATATATATATATATATATATATATATATATATATATATATAGTATGCAAATATGCATCATGCATGCAAATCTGTATTTCTGAATAAGTTGCATTTACATTTTATATTTTGAAGTACTTATTTATTTATTTATTGTATGCGTGAATACCCAGAAAAGTGATGAATTATTGATAACTAATTGGGTATTCACTATTTTGTAAAGTAAATATTATTTATGGACTAATGGTCCTATTAAGAGCCAGTATGATGATTGTTGGTGGTACCAGGCTAAACACTGGGGGACTATGACTTCTATTCCTGCTTAGGACACAAAGCCAGTTGGGTGACTGGGGAGTCACTCACTCATTCTCACGCATCCACTCAAACTGCATGGCAGTTGCTAGGAATCAAGACTGAATTGAAGGTTAAAGCCATCCTACTGTCAGGATTAACCACTTTTATAATTTTTTATGTTAATTTTTTAGCTATCTAAATGCCTTTAGTAAGGTGACCAACTGTCCTCCTTTAGGGAGGACAGTTCTCCTTTTGTAAGTTCTGTCCTCCCTCAAAAAGTGTCCTCTTTCATGTCCTCCTTTTCGATATTTGAAGACTAATCTGCAGGGCTTTCTTTTTTCCTCATAGAACATTCAGGCGTTTTTTGATGGGTTTTTTTTTCAACTTTTGCATGAGCTGTGCTACTTCCCCTATTGGCTTTCGAAAGCCAATAGGAATTGCTGCTGAGTGCACCAAAACACCCGGCTGGCAAACTTTGCACATGCAAGTTGTCTGTATTATTGCTGCAATGAATAAAATTTTTTTTTTAATTTACGATTTTTTTCCTTCAATTTATTTGTGTCCTCCTTTTCATTGTAAAAAAGTTGGTCACCTTACCTTTAGAGCAGCGGTCCCCAATCTTTCTGGCATCAAGGACCAGTTTTGTGGAAAACAATTTTTCCATGGCTCGGGGGGGGGGATGTTTCATGTGCAACCTAGATCCTGTGCATGAGCAGATGAAGCTTTGTTCACTCGCCTGCATAATTGCGTGGCCTGGTTCGTAACAGGCCAGGCGCTGGTACCGGTCTACAACTAAGGGGCTGGGGACCCCTGCTTTAGAAGCTTTCTCAAGCAGGGCACAAAGAA